TTAGGGTTTAGGGTTTACGGTTTCGGGTTAGGGTGACATGCAGGGCGAAGGGCTTCTCGGATGGGTAGCACAATCATAAACAAATATGTTCCTAAGTATACAGAATCCTCTTAACCCAGTCATGCTTGCACCGACAATACCTCAAGAACTTCGACGATGCAACTGATGAAGTGGGTTTAGGGGTTTAGAGTTTAGGTTTAGGGTTTAGGGCTTAGGGTGAGCATGATGTGTTTTTTTTTGGGGGGAAAGGGGGGGGAGGGGAGTGGGGTGTTTTAATGTCTTAATTATAGGCCCCTAACTGCTCGCTACACTCCAACAACACCCTAAACCCAAAAAACATCTACTGATTTATATCTATGTTTATATCTATATTAGCATTTACATCTGTATTTATATTTATGGATATACATTTTTCTTACGTAAAACGTGAGACCTAACCCCTAAATATGGGGGATGGAAGCACTTCTTGGGTCCCTGCCCGTGAGCAGCCCCAAAAAACACAAAAACCCAAACCCTCAACCAACTCCATATTTGCTTAAGAACCCCCAAAATCATAAATAATAATAAAAATGTAAAAAAAGACATGAACATAATCCCTATACTAATCTCATATGTATGTTACCCTTAGATGGAAGACCTTTTAGGGTGGCTCTAAAGCTAAAAGTAGTTCTCGAGCCTCTGTGGTCCCCCAGACCAGAAGGAGCCGAGGGTGGCTTGGAGCACCTCCGCGTGATGACTCCTGCCATTTAAAGGGGGTTTAGGGTTCAGGGTTTAGGATTTAAGGTTTAGGGTTTAGGATTTAGTAGGGTTTAGGGCTTAGGGGTTGGGGTTAGGCACAGGGAGCCAAAGGCACCTGAATTAGGGGGTTTGCTATCATGGTGATATAGGGTTTAGGGTTTAGGGTTTAGGGTCACTGAATGGTCAATGGTGGTTGATGAACGGTATGAACAGAATGAAACCAGACCAAAAGGCAAGGGTGTTCAGGGTCAATAGGTGTGGGGGTTACGGCCTGGCTTGTGGAAAGGCTTACTGGATGGGTGCAAGGCTGTGGAACAAGAGTGAGAGAGATGAATGGTACGGTTTCTATGTTGGGTTCCTAGCTCCTATCTTGACACTCCTATCCTCACGGGCGGGCTCTTGGGCAGTTAAGGTGTCATGAGATTGATGGTGGAAAAGACTCAATGATTGGTACTATCCTGGCGGTCTCCATCTCTAGACTCTGTTAATACCTGGTGATGGTACTGAATGACCGGGACAGACTGAAGAAGATAGGGTCTCAAGGGCAGATTCATTAACAGATGCACGTGACATGGAGAAGCCGAAGTACTAGCCCGTAGAACTGCATGGGAAGGCATCTCCTCCTCAACTATGGGTCCATGCACCTATATGGTTTTACTCGGGCTTTAAAGGGTTGCCCAGCGGGGTTTTCACGGATTTCAAGGTAAAGGCTTGGCTTGAAAGCCGGAAGTCCCTGAAGCCCGGGGCCCTAAACACTAACACCCGAAGCCCTACCCTAGGGTTTAGGGTTTAGGGTTTAGGGTTTAGGGTTTAGGGTTTAGGGTTTAGGGTTTAGGGTTTAGGGTTTAGGGTTTAGGGTTTAGGGTTTACCCCAAACCCTAAAGCTCGAAATCCTTTACCCCAAGCCACCTGAACCCTAGCACCCTAAGCCCTAAACCCTTGCCACCCTTTCAACCATCCGAAAACTCCTATATCCGTAAACCCCTAAAACCCTATACCCTAATACGCTAATACCATACAATCCCAAACCCTAAACCCTAAACCCTAAACCCTTAGCCCTTAAGGTCACACCCGGAACCCTAAACCAACAACCTGAAAACCCAAAACCCTAAACCCGACAAACTCCAAACTGCACAAACTTTAAATCCAAAACCTAAACCCCAAACCCCAAAACCAAAACCCTGAACCCAACCCTACAAACTCCAAGGTTTGGCCCCCTAAACCCCAAACCCTAAACCCTAAACCCCAAACCCTAAACCATAAACCCTAAACCCTAAACTCCAAAGGTTTGGCCCCCCAAGAGTGTCCTGCCCATGCGTTTCGATGGGCCGCCAGAGACCACACTCCGCGGTCGCCGCGCGGCCCCTGCGCTTCTTGGGGTTTGGGGTTTAGGGTTTAGGGTTTAGAGTTTGGGGTTTAGGGTTTAGGGTTTGGGGTTTAGAGTTTGGGGTTTAGGGTTTGCGGGCTTAGGGCTAAGTGTTTGGGGCTTAGGGTTTGTGGGGTTCGTGCTCCGGGCTTTGGCCTTCCCTAAAACCCAAACCCTGAACCCTGAACCCGAACCCCTAACCCCCAAACCCAAAATCCTAAACCCTAAACCCTAAACCCCAACTCTATATATAAGCCTAACCATCCGATCAGCATGCGCCAGGGGAATAAGGGCACGACCGGGGGTTTCAAGGAAACGCGGCCGGTGCAAAAAAGCTGCCCTGCCCACAACCCATCCTAAACATGCAAGAAGACCGGGGTTTAGGGTTTAGGGGGTTTAGGGTGTTTAGGGGGTTTAGGGGGTTTAGGGGGTTTAGGGGGTTTAGGGGGTTTAGGGGGTTTAGGGTTCAGCATCTCTGATCCAAGCATTCACTAAGGGTGTTTGGCATCACCCCACCCACCCAGATCCCTTCATGTGGCAACCCTATCTACCATTTCAATTCTTATTGCCTAAGTCCCCTGAACCTTAAATCCTAAATCCTAAAAGCCCCAGATAGCTTTCAAAAGCCCCAAAAGGCTTCAAAATCCAACCCGAAAAGGCTGGAACTCAGGTCTTGCTTGCTCCCGCAATGAAAAGTGCTACTGAAATCTTTTGTTTCGGGGCCCTTCCATTTTACTCCAAAGCACCACCACAGCCTCAAATAGCTTTAAAAAGCCCAAAAAAAAACCCAGAAAGGGCGGGGGGCCCGGGATTTGCTCCCCCCGCAGTGAAAAGTGCTGTTTTTTAGTACTGAAATCGACGGCTTCGGGACCCCTCCAGTTTACCCGTAAAGCACTACCGCAGCCCAAACAGCTTTAAAAAGCCTCTAAAAGCTTCAAATACCCGAAAAAACATTGAACGCAGGATTTGCCTGATTTCGGGGGCACACAACCGTCTGCAGCTCGCACGAGTAATGGAACCAAAGCATGCACTCCAGGGCACCCCCCCCAAGCTCCCCCCGCCTGCTGCTCTCGCAGTGTCTCACACAAAGCGGCAGCCAATGGGAAAGCGGAGTCCTGAGCGCCGGTCGCGTCCAGGTCGTGTCTTGCCAGCGCGGGCAGCCACAGGCGCATGTGCTCGGCATCTGCGCGGCCAGGCTCACGCACTGCGGTCGTCCTGCGCAGCAGGCACCACAACCAAGTGTCGCTGCCGCACGCGCGGCGTGCTGGACGCAAAAGATTTGCTACATGCGGCACATGGAGAATAGCCTGGAGCACCGAATTCAGAAAGCACGCATTGCCGATGTTCATCAGTCCACCGTCTCCGACATGTCCTGTGCGCCTCCCTGCGCACGTCTGGGTCTGCAGCTTAGGCCGCCTCAGACTGCTGCGCTTGCGCTGCCCCTTGCTGCGCGACTTGCTGGGCAGGTCTCGTGAAGAGTACCGAACCACAGCCCAGCCAATCACCCCCCATGGCTTCCAGAAAAAGATGGGCTTCTTCGGCAACTGCACGTCCTCGAGCCACAATCCATTGGTTTTCTTGTAGTGCAGCTCTACCTTCGTCACGCGATGCTGCGGTCGATACATGCTGTACGTGTCTAGCGTAAGCTGCTGGCAGGCCACAATCCGAGCACGACCCTGTACGCTGTTGCCCTCACCCAGCCATGTCCAGCCCAGTCGGGCACGCTGGCCACGCAGCTCCATGGTCTTCTCGCCCTTCAGAATCAAGTTTAGCCACGACTTCTTCAAGATCATCACTCGAGCGCCTTTCAAAAGCCCCAAAAAGGTTCCTAAACCTCTCAAAAGGGGGTGGGCCTGGGATTTGCTGCTCCCGCAATGACAAGTGCTGCTTTTTAGTACTGAAATCGACGGTTTCGGGGCTAGCCAAAAAGCCACAAAAAAAACGTTGATCCCAGGATTTGCCTGGCTTCGAAACCCCTAAAACCCCAAAAACACCCAAAAGGGGGGGGGGGGGGATTTGCTGCTCCCGCAACGAAAAATGCTGTTGTTTAGTCCCAAAGCACCACCACAGCCCGGAAAGTGCTTGGAAAAAGCCTAAAAGGCCCAGAAAGGGTCTGGGAAAAACCCACAAAACCTCGGAGAAGCTCCGAAATGGTCCGAAACAATACATTTTTGAAGGCAAAGTTTCCCCTTCAAGGGGGGGGGGGGTTCGGAATTTTGGCCAGGGGGGGTCTCCGAATACTGTTTTGCTTTAAAAATGGCAAAATACGACCCCCCCCGCTTGACCAAAATTAGGCTGTGAAAAGGTCGCAGGGGTGTCCCTTCATCAGGACTGTCGAAGCCCCGGTCAGAGGGGCCTGGGGAGCCCCGTAAAAGCTCCTGGGAGGTTTCTGGGGAAAGGGAGTGGGATTTAGGATTTAGGATTTAGGATTTAGGATTTAGGATTTAGGATTTAGGATTTAGGATTTAGGATTTAGGATTTAGGATTTAGGATTTAGGATTTAGGATTTAGGATTTAGGATTTAGGATTTACGACTTAGGATTTAGGCTTTAGGATTTAGGATTTACGACTTAGGATTTAAGAACCACGAAAGTGCAAAAAAACCAGACGACCCCATTAAGGTTTAAATAAATAAATATATATATATATATATTTATATAGGTAGAGAGGGTTTAGAGTTTAGGGAAGGCTAAAAAGCAAGACCCAAAACCTTCTCCACCCTCAAGGTTTATAGGTCTTAGGGCTTGGGGCTCAGACACCCTAAAATCTGAACCCTAAACCCCCTAAACCCCCTAAACCCTAAACCCTAAACCCTAAACCCTCAACCCTCAACCCTCAACCCTCAACCCTAAACCCTAAACCCTAAACCCTGCCCCTGACAAGCTCGGGAACTGGCGGATGGCCCTGCGCAGCTGCAACTCCTTGATGCCCATGGCGGCCTGCTTCGCATTAGGGTTTAGGGTTTAGGGTTTAGGGTTTAGGGTTTAGGGTTTAGGGTTTAGGGTTTAGGGTTTAGGGTTTAGGGTTTAGGGTGAAGGGTTAAGGGTTAAGGGTTTGGGGTTGAGGGTTGAAGGACCCCTCAAAAAAAACACCCTTAAACTGGAGAACAACATGTTTGGCGGTTTGCTCCGGCACACTGGCTATGGTCCCATTTTTTGCGGGGTTCCTTCCTACTTGGTGAAACGGGGCGTCTTGTATATTTTGTGGGGCGAAAGCAGGCAACGGCCCTGGGCTCAGGGTAGTACCAGAAGACAGGGTTTAGGGCTTGGGGGCGTAGGGCGTCGAAGGACTCCCTGAGTATTCCGCAGACACCCTAAACCGTAGACCCTAAACCCGAAACCCTAAACCCTAAACACTCAACCCTCAACCCTCAACCCTCAACCCTAAACCCGAAACCCTAAACCCTAAACACTCAACCCTCAACCCTCAACCCTCAACCCTCAACCCTAAACCAAGGCTGGCCCTGGACGGAAGAATGCTCCCGAACAAGAGCATCTAAACAACTTCCAAGGGCCTACCCAGGAACTCGGAACTTTCCGCCAAACCCCCGAAAACCCCCAAAACCCCGCAAAAACCCCGAAACCCCCAACACCCCAACAGCTTCAAAACCCCCAAACACCAAAACACCAAAACACCAAAGAACAAAGAAACAAAAAACACAAAACACGCGCGCACACACACACACACACACTCTCTCACACCCAGACCCAACACCCAACAGCGAAAACAGCCCCACAAGCCCGATAGTCAGACCCTATTTCGGCACACCACGCACTTGCGACTTGAAAAAACGACACTTGCGACTGTAACTTCTTATCTATTGCGACTACGACATGTTCTCACTCGCGTCGACAAGCACCCTCACTTGCGACTACGTCACCCCCAGACATCTGGACAGGGATTCTAGTTCGCTTGCGGCTATAACTGGTGCCTCAGCTGAAGACACGAGTGGGGGTTTCCGAAATTAGGGGTACCTTATTGGGGTCCGTATGAGAGGGAATCCTACTATTTGGGGGGACTATATAAGGGGTCCCTCATTTCCGTAAACCCCCAAGCTAGTGTGGATATTTGGCTGGGAGTGTATCCATAAGAGCCTTATGACTCGGGGGAGGGTCTAGGGTTTGAAAGTTCAGGGCATCAGGGTCTATGGGTTTGTGGGAGCCCATCAGTTCCTAAACCAAACCCCCGTAAACTCCCAAGTTTACTAAACCCTAAACCCTAAACCCTAAACCCTAAACCCTAAACCCTAAACCCTAAACCCTAAACCCTAAACCCTAAAGTCCTTCAAGCCTCCTCCCGCAGGATCAAGTGCCAGCTGCCACTGCAGGGCCTGGAAACGAGAGCACTGCGTGGTGCCGCTTGGAGAGCGTCTCAAGGAAGGGGGTTTAGGGTTTAGGGTTTGGGGGGACTCTCTGATTTGTCTATTCCCAGCTATCGTCCATGTACGCGCCACGCACCACCTGGATCCACCCGGCTTCCGTCACAGCGCGCTTTCCAACCCTGCACAACCTCGACTCCTGTGTTCCTGTTGTTTGATTGTGCTTGGTGCCGCCAATGGCTGACTCTCAGCTTTAAACATGAAAAAGTTGGGTTCAGAACACGTTTCCTCTGCCATTGCGCGAGCTGCATGAGGGATTTGGCAGCTAAGCTACTGAATTCTCATGGTTTTGCGGAGGAGGTCGCCACCCGTCAGCAGAAGAGCTCAGCAGGGGCCATGAGAAGAAAGGGCTGAAGAAAACAAACTCAAGGCAGGGGGCCCGCCTTGAACCTTATACTACCCATCTAAGGGACAGTTGCATGGTCCCTTCTATCATATGGCCCCTTAAAGGATTTCAGAAGTACGGGGCCCTTGGGGTTTAGGGTTTAGGGTTTAGGGTTTAGGGTTTAGGGTTTAGGGGGTTTGATAGGCCATGCAAGAACCCACCATTCATAGGGTGAAAAAATCAAACTAGGACTTCCTGCAAGCCATGGGGGCCTCTGAAGAGAGCTTACACTCGACGCAAGAGTAGCCTAGGAACGACAAGGGTGCCCCTTTTTTGGTGTAAACGCGGCTTTTTTTCGGGAACGTAAGCCTTAAAACAAAGGAACAGGGGCGCACTCTGGTCCTAGTACAAGTCTACATGGTCAAGTCTCAAGATCTAGATATTGGGGGACCGCCTTGAAATAGTAACTCTAAACCCTAAACCCCAAACCCCAAACCCTAAACCCTAAACCCTGCCCAAAAGTGACCATCATGTAGAGAAGTGACCACATGAACCATTATATTGTTCTGGCTTTCAAGGGCGTACAGGGTTACACAGCCAGCATGGCTCATACAGTTGAATGCATCCCTAAACCCTAACCCCTTAGCCCTAAACCCTAAACCCTAAACCCTAAACCCTAAACCCTACACCCTAAACCCTAAACCCTAAACCCTAAACCCAAATATCACACATCCGAAGCTCTGGAGCTGAGGTGTGCACGCTTGCTCGTCCCGACGCACAGCGCCTGTAGGGCTGAGGGCTTAAGACTTCGGGCTTGGGGCTGGGGGTTTAGGGTTTAGGGTTTAGGGTTTAGGGTTTAGGGCTTGGGCACCCTGAACCCTAGAAACTGGGTTCACCATTTAGGCTCTAGGCTTGCCTTACACTCAACAGGCTGCGCCCCTCGAGGGCGTCCTGAACTACAGACCCAAAATGCACACCATGTGCACAGTCGAAATAATAGGTTTTCTCTGATGGTCCCTTGATAATTATACTAAGAATAAGCCCCAAAGCCCAAAAACATAATATAATTATACTATACATAACCCCCCCAAAACCCAAAACCCAAAACCCAAAACCCAAAACCCTATTCCCCTATATTCGATTTTATTCAGAAGAAGTCCTGGATACCAGGGTAGGACTTGCTGGAGTCCAACGTTATAGAACCCTTTGGAGCACTCTGATCGTTCCTTGGGAGGTTTAGGGTTCAGGGTTTAGGGCTTAGGGTTTAGGGTTTAGGGCGGCTTGGTCAAGCGACTCGGTCTCCTCTCGGACTCTCACTCTTGTCGCATCACAGGCGGGTCAGAAACTCCATCCCAACTAGGGTTTTAGGGTTATAGGGCTTAGGGTTTAGGGCTTAGTGTGCAACTTTGCTTTTAAGGAACCATCTTACTCTCCAAAGATATCAACCCCGAATTCTATGCTCCTTAGCAGCTAATTGCTCAGGAGTAGATTCGGAGCAGATGTTAGGCGTTCATCAGGAGGGGGCCCGCACTGTGTGCGGTCTATCTTGCAGGCCCCAGCATTAAAGCTTACTAAACTCGTAAACCTCTCACCCCTAAACCCCTAAACCCCCAAACCCCCAAACCCCTAAACCCTAAACCCTAAACCCCCAAACCCTAAACCCTAAACCCTAAACCCTAAACCCCCCAAACCGCAGCCGGGCCTTCGGGAAGCTGATGGCCCTCCCCCAGGGCCAACACCAACTCCAGCAGCTGAGACAGAGCCACCTCTGTCATCCTTTTCGGGCATGGTTAATTAGGGTTTAGGGTTTAGGGTTTAGGGTTAGGGTTTAGGGTTTAGGGTTTAGGGTTTAGGGTTTAGGGTTTAGGGTTTAGGGTTTAGGGTTTAGGGTTTAGGGTTTAGGGTTTAGGGTTTCGGGCATGAAAAGGGGGAGGGGGGGGTGAGGTGTTAGGGTTTAAGGGTTTTTGTTGGGGTGTTACGAAGTGCTTTATGTGGTCTTGTGATCGGGTTGGCTTAGCATGTGTTGAGTTCGGGAAGTGGATCGGTGATCTGGACAAGAACCATACCTTTCAGCCATCCCCCACCCCCCCACCCCCCCCCCAAAAAAAAAAAAAAGGTCTTACGACCAGGCCTCTGTGAAAAGAAAGACAAATAAAAGCCCTGAACCCTAAACCAAGTACATGAGAGCCTTTTATGATTCGCCATATATAGTTGGGGGTTCCCAAAAGGGTCAAAGATTTAAATCAGCACCCATTTGGCCGCTTCCACAATTGAGGAAGGTCCTCCTTTTTGCCCCACCCTAAAACCCTAAAACAGGAAAACCCAAAAACCCTAAAGCCCGGAAGTCCTCAGTTTCAGGGTCTCAAGGGTTTTTTGGGTTTTTGGGCGGCAGATTCCTCGGAAGGCAGAAGCGTATTTTGCGCGAAGACAACAAAGGGATGGAAGGTGTTACTCCGTGAAAGCTCCAAGAAGCCTACGAGCTACTAACAGGCTCAGAAAGCTCCAGAAGGCCCCACCCTGCTCTTCCTCTGTAAAGCAAGAAAGCCCCCCTTGAGGGGTGAACCGTAAACCCTAAATGAGAATAGTTTGGGTGGCTGGGGTGGGACTACATGCTGACGCAAGCGAGCGGCCTGGGCGCTTTTAGCACCAGCGAGCTTCCCTTCTACACACCCTAAACCCTGAACCCTAAACCCTAAACCCTAAACACTAAACCCTAAACCCTAAACCCTAAACTCTAAACCCTAAACCCTAAACCCTAAACCCTAAACCCTAAACCCTAGACCCTAAACCCAACCCCCCCCCCCCCCCGCTCTCCTGCGCAGACTGGGCCCGGCGTCCTCGCACAAGTCTGGGCTGGAGTTCGCCTGCCCCGTGGTTGGGTGTCGGGTTTAGGGTTTAAGGTTCAGGGTTTAGAGTTTAGGGTTTAGGGTTTTAGGGTTCAGGGTTGAGGGTTGAGGGTTGCTTCTGCCGTAGTGGGTCTTCAGTGTTGAGATTTTGGGGTCTGGCAGGGGTCTAGCAGGGTTTCAGGGCTGATGGTTTTGGGGTTAGGGTCAGAACTGTAGTAGGAGTCACGGCCCTAGGGTTGTGGCGTACCCTGATCACCTTACACCCCAAACCCTAAACTCAAGGACTCAGGCGTCGACACCCACTGCCATGATTGAAACAAGATGAAAGTAGCAGCAAGCAGAACGTACATGTAGACATCGGCCTATCAAATATATCCCTCTGTCTACCATCTATACGACCGGTATGCACATTGGAGCGTGCTTAACTTTTCCCGAACAATGCCCCTAAACCTTAAACCCTAAACCCTAAACCCTAAACCCTAAACACTGGTCCAGGAAACTGAGGAGTTCACCGTGCAATAGCTTTGTTCGGCTTACCTTTACTTGGAGGTTCAAGGGGTAGAAACAGAAGGGTTCTAAGAAGGGTAACTGTGGTTATAACCTTTCTGAAGGTCCTCATAACCCTACTTGCAAGTACCCATGAACCACTCCCAACTCGCGAAACGCCAGAGACCAAGGAAGAACCAAGATCCGACCACGCAAAATGACCCATGGTTTAGGGCGTAGGGCTTACCTAGAGATCCTATGTAGTTCCTTTTTGGGGTAGAATACTCAGAATCCCCGATGGCTGGCCCAAGACGGAACTACACTGGAGCCTTCGGGTAGGGTTTAGGGTTAAAAGCCCAAAACCCAGATCCTAAACCCTCAGCTTTTTCAGATAACATAATCATCATAATACGAGTAACTACAAGATAGCATAATAATCATAATACTAATCACTACAAGAATTAGAATAGTTATAATTACCAGCCTAAAGATGTTGCAGAGGCTCTTTGCGCCTCCAGCAGCCACGGCCTGATCTCCGCTTCTTGGGGCTAGCTTTGGGATGTGGGCTTTGCGCTTTTACTAATCCATGGTTGGGATAATATTACAAAAATACACAAATAAATATATATATATATGTATATTCCTTATTGGGTTTAAGTATTCTTAAAAGTGTAAAAATGGTACCCAACTATGACAAAGTTGAATGATGCCGACGGCCGTGATTTTGTAACGTGTCCTTATTGGTACCATCATTGTTGGGGTTGCAAGCCTTCTGATAGACATGCGGTTGCATTTAGTTGTTACCCTCCAAGCCGCAAGGAGCGCACGCAAAATTCGACTTCAGCAAAGCACAAGAAGGAACAACTTTGGAGTTTTCCACCAGTTTTGACCCAGCACCCCACAATCCCCGAAACCGCGATGATGATCCCGGGTTGGGATGTTCAGGAGGGAGGAGCCTGTAGTTTTGCGAATCCTCAACGAATTCTTTCGCTTGAACCAGTATGGTTCTGTAGGCAGAACATCCCTAAACCCTAAACCCTAAACCCTAAACCCTAAACCCTAAACCCTAAACCCTAAACCCTAAACCCTAAACCCTAAACCCCAGACGAACAACACGAAACCTCCGACTTGGGACCCCGGACTTCATCTCCGTGTCCAGGAGGAAATCGAAGCCAAAGAGCTCAAAGCAACCGCGCGGATGGGCTGGCGTGGCTTAGGGTTTAGGGTTTAGGGTTTAGGGTTTAGGGTTTAGGGTTTAGGGTTTAGGGTTTAGGGTTTAGGGTTTAGGGTTTAGGGTTTAGGGTTTAGGGTTTAGGGTTTAGGGTTTAGGGCTGAGGGCTTAGGGCTTAGGGCTTAGGGTTTATCCGCCGACCCTGGCGGCGTGTTGGATGGGAAAAGGAGGTGAAACCTCCCTCTTTCCCTCCTTACCCCCCCAAAACGCGGGGGGGGGGGGGGGGGGGG